GGGTGGAGGGAGGGGTGGTTTTATGTTATAGCCCAAGAACCCGACCTTCCTTTCTAGCCTGATTGGGGAATCCCCGACGTCGAGAAGTTCTATGAGGGCCAGGTGTATCCGGATGTTTTGGAAGAGCATAGGAGGATGCTGGTCGGGCTCAGCCCCCTTTTCTCGACGATGAAGGAGATTGGGAAAGAGGTTATAGACCTGGCAAATATTAGAGGCGTCGAGGGTAGGGATGTTCTTTTATTATTATTATTATTATTATTATTATTATTTTTTTTTTTTGAAAATAGCCTGACCTTGTGCTCGTTCTAAAATGTTTGTAAATTTTTGCAGGTATGTCTTTTGATCCTTGGGCTCTTCGGAACTTTGTCAGCACAAGGACTGACGCTCGTCCACAGGGGTAGCCCCCGAAGAAGAAAGGCAAGAAGAGGCATCGAGGAACTCCTGAGGGTGAGGGGGCCTGGCGAAACATCTCGAGCACATCCTCAAGTCTCGACCCCTCTGCAACCGAACCTTAGATCTCCCACTCCTCGGGTCGTCACTCCTCGGCCTCCTTCTGAAGTGGTTGACTTTGAGGATAACCCGTCTCTTACCGGGGACTTTGAGACTTGCCACCTCGCTCCTGAGCTCGTAAACAAATACAAGGAGGAGGTGAAGGTCGAGGATGGGATGAAGGTCCTCGAGGGTCTTACAGTGAAGGTAATCTTCGAACTTTCGAATTTAGCCTCAAGTTTTTTGGTCGAGTTAATACTTGACATTTTCTCCATTTTTTCCAGATGTTGAGTGTAGCTCGAGTCCTTTCTCTGCAAGGGCTCCAGGAGGCCAAGAGGGCAGCTGGGGTCGAGACGTCCATGGCCTCCAAGGACAGTAGGATTCAAGACCTCGAGGCTCAGGTCGAGGTTTTATTGAAGGAGCGTGATGACGCGAGGATGGAGGCCGCAAAGGCTAGGGATGACCTTGTTGTAGCAAAGGATGAGGTCGAGGGTGCGAAGCTTGAGCTTATCCAGAAGACAGAGAATTTTGAGCGCGAGCTTGCGGCTGTCAGGGAGAGGGCCTGGGAAGAGTTTAAAACCTCCGAGGACTGTGATAAGATAAAAGAGGAGTACGCGTCGGGGCCGTACTTCCATGCTTTGAAAGAAGCCCGAGCCTTCCTCCGTCAGAAGTTGCCCGACGTCACTTCGGATGACCTGAAGACAGTGCCTTCCATTGCTGATACTTTGGAGCTCTCGGGTTCAGAAGACGGAGGAGGATCGAGCGAAGATGAGGAGGACGGTCTTGAGGACGACGTTGAGATCGACATCAGCAACCTTGACCCTCCTCATGGCCACATTGGATGATTTCCTCACCCCGATCTTTTGTAATTTTTGTTTAAACTTTGAACATGTATTTTGATCGAGGACTATGTATGCTCTGAAGTTAATTTATTGCATTTGAACTATTTATCTCAACCCCTTGGACTTCAACATTCGAGCACACAAATTGAAAATTAATTGCTCATGCGACATTGAAGAGTTTACTCAAGGATTCCACAACTCGAGCATATAATCTTAAGAGATTAAAATGATCTTGAGCACGACTAACTTAAAAAGTGATAATGTGACATTTTCGAGGACTCTAAACCTCGAGCACAACTAATCTTAAAAAGTTGGGATGTGGTATTCTCGAGGACCCTAAACCTCGAGCACAACTAATTTAAAAAGTGATAATGTGACATTCTCGAGGACTCTAAACCTCGAGCACCAGTAATCTTAAAAAGTTGGGATGTGATATTCTCGAGGACTGTAAACCTCGAGCACAACTAACTTAAAAAGTTGGGATGTGATATTCTCGAGGACTGTAAACCTCGAGCACACTAACTTAAAAAGTTGCGATCTGCTCATGTGACATCCTCAAGGGATTGTGCGATTCTCAAGGACTCTAGACTTCGAGCAAAACTAACTTAAATAGTTGTTATTTCCTCATGTGACATCCTCGAGGGATTGTACGATTCTCGAGGACTCTAGACTTCGAGCAAAACTAACTTAAATAGTTGTTATTTGCTCGTGATATCCTTGAGAGATTGTCAAAAATGATGTAGGATTTTTATATGTCTCCGGCTTACGCTTGAGTATATGATCAAGGCTTTTTGTGCTTGCGCAGTGCAAGGCTTTGGTGCCTGCTCGGGGCAAGGCTTTTTGTGCTTGCACGGGGCAAGGCTTTGGTGCTTGCTCGGGGCAAGGCTTTTTTGAGTGCTTGCTCGGGGCAAGGCTTTTTGTACTTGCTCGGGGCAAGGCTTTTTTGAGTGCTTGCGCCAGGCAAGGCTTTGGTGATTCATGGGCGCAAAGTAAACTAAAGGGCTATTATACCCGAGGTTTGAATTTACTAATTTCTCGGACTGGACTTGGATTTATATTGTATCCAAGCTGCCTATGTACCCAAACGGGATCAAGCCGAACGTAGTTCATTATGAAAGAAAATAGAAAACATGCATGGGCACGCAGGCCCGCTAAACTAGAGAAATAAAATGCAAGGGTGCGCAGGCCCGAGGAACCAAAAATAATATTCAGAAGAAAAAATGCAGGAATAAAAAGAAAATCTCCTAGATGGCATCGAGAATGTTACTTGTAATATATTTTCAGATTATCAGCATTTCAGGGCCTTGGAAGAGGTCTACCCGAAGTGTCTCTTAGACTGTATGCTCCTTTGCGAACCTGTCGTATGACCTCAAAGGGTCCTTCCCAGATGGGCCCGAGCTTCCCTGGGGGGTGACCTGTAGCTTCGGCCCTCCTCAGGACCAAGTCGCCTGCTCTGAACCTCCGAATCTTGACTTTGTTATTAAAATGTTTTGCTGTCTTAGTTTGGTAAGATGCCACCTTTATAGCGGCTTGCTCCCGCACTTCTTCCAAGAGATCAAGATGTTCAGTTGTATGCTCCGAGGTTTCTGGCACGAGCCTCCTATGGCTCGGGAGTCTAATTTCCACCGGGACCATTGCTTCAATGCCATAGGCTAACATAAAAGGGGTTTCTCCTGTGGTTGTCCTATGAGTTGTTCTATACATCCAAAGTATAGAAGGCAGCTCGTCGGACCAAGAACCCCTTGCATTGCTTATTCTTGTTCGGAGGTCTTGTAATATGATTCTATTTGTTACCTCGGTCAGACTATTGCTCTGAGGATGTGAAACTGATATCAGACGGTGATCAATCCCAAGGTTTGAGCAAAAGTGTCTAAACTGTTGATTGTCAAATTGCCTGTCATTGTCGGTGATGAGGACCTTTGGTATCCCAAACCTGCAAATGATAGACCTCCAAGTGAAGGCTCTTAGCTTGGGCTCCGATATTGTGGCGAGAGGTTCGGCCTCTACCCATTTTGTGAAGTACGCTACTACTACAGCAATAAACTTTAATTGACCACTTGCCACAGGAAAGGGGCCGAGGATATTGACTCCCCATTGTTCAAACGGGGCCGAACAGTTAATGTTGGTGAGGTCTTCGGCTGGTGAGTGGATAACATTACCAAACCTCTAGCACCTATCACATCTTTTAACATATTCTGAGGTGTCTTTTTTCATAGTTGGCCAATAGTACCCATATCGTAGGAGTTTAAAGGCCAAGGCCTTGGCTCCTTGATGATTCCCGCACACACACCTTCATGAACTTCAACAAGGGCCTGGGATGACTCTGATGGTCTGAGGCACCTTAGGTATGGAATAGTAATATTTCTGCGAAAGAGGACACCGCTGATCATGCAGTACCTAGGAGCTCGAGCTCTGATGCTTCTAGCCAACCTGGCATCGCTTGGTAGATTTCCACTTGTGATGAATTCTATGATTGGGTCCATCCAGGATGGTTCGTTGTCAATGTCCATGATGTCGAGGATTTGACTGATGCTGAGTTCTGTGATGATTTTAATGTGAACTGTTCTGTCAAGGCCGTCTACCCCCATGAACACAAGCCTGGTTAATGCGTCGGCTTTTCCGTTGTCCTTTCGAGCAATTTTTGCAATTTCACAACTCTTGAATTTTCGTTGAAGATCCTGAACCTTCATACAGTACAAACTTATTTTCTCGTCTTTCCTTTCAAATGATCCTTCAATCTGTCCGACCACCAATTGTGAATCGCTGAATATTTTTACGAACTCGAGCTCAAGGCAAAGGGCTAGCTCCAGAGCAATAACGACGGCCTCATACTTGGCTTCGTTGTTGGTTGCTTCAAACTCGAATCTGTTTGTTTGTCAGGGCTAATGATGATGACCCCTGCGCCCGAGCCCGAGGAGTTCGATGCTCCATCCACAAAAATTTGCCAAGTGTCCAAATTAGTGCTCATGCTCGAGCTGTCACCTGGTCCCCGAGGCCTAGGGGTTAGTTCTGCAATGAAGTCGGCTAGTGCTTGGGCTTTGATAGATGGGCGTGGTTTGAATTATATGTCAAATTCTCCAAGCTCGATTGCCTATTTCATCAGTCTTCTTGAAACGTCCGGCTTCTGAAGTATATGCCTAAGTGGTTGATTAGTGAGCACCACAATAGGGTGAGACTGAAAATACTGCCGGAATTTCCGTGCTGCTATAACCAAGGCAAGGGCAAGTTGTTCCGCCAAAGTATACCTTGTTTTCGCATCTAGTATGACCTTGCTTACAAAGTAGATAGGTTGTTGGACTTTGTTAACCTCTTTCACCAAGACCCCGCTGACCGTGTTTTGAAATACGACCAGGTATAAAAATAAGATGTCACCAGGCTCAGGCCTAGTGAGAATAGGAGGAGATGTCAATGTCTGCTTGAGCTCCTGAAAAGCTTTCTCACAGTCTTCACTCCAATCAAAGCCTTGGTTTCCTCTGAGGACTTTGAAGAAGGGATAGCACCTGTCTGATGCTCGGGACATGAACATGTTCAAAGCTGCTATCCTACCAGTCAACCTCTGTACCTCTTTCTTATTCCTTGGTGATTCCATAGACGCCAAGGCTTGTATTTTGTCAGGGTTGGCCTCTATCCCCCCGTGAGTGATCATAAAGCCCAAGAACTTGCCCGAGACCACGCCAAATGCACATTTTGCGGGGTTCAACTTCATTCCGTACTTTCGCAAGGTGTCGAAAACCTCTTCAAGATCTGAAATATGCTAGTCCACCTGTTTGCTCTTGACCACCATGTCATCAACGTACGCCTCCACATTCCTTCCAATCAAGTTAGCAAAGACTTTGTTGATGAGCCTTTGGTATGTTGCCCCTGCATTCTTCAAACCGAAGGGCATGACCTTATAACAGTATATGGCGGAATCGGCCATGAATGATGTCTTTTCTTGATCTTCCTCGGCCATGAGGATTTGATGATAACCAGAAAATGCATCCAAAAAGTTGTATAGCTTATGTCCAGACCTGCTATCCACCAAGTTGGTTTTTTGGAGTTCTCTCGTATAAAGCATCCCTTCAGCAATTGCCTTGGTTATGACCTAAAAAGTGAAGTTAATAAATGTTAACGTCAAATGATTCACTAAAAACTATTCCTGTGCCTGAATACAGAATGTCTTATCATGATCAAAAGAATAAATTCAATTGGAAAGGCAACTATTGAACACAACATATCATGGTTTAAATAAAGGACTAATTGGAGGAGAGAGTATAAATTTATTTGATAATCAAATTCCAACTATTACAATACATAAACCCCTTTATACAGGGCAAAAAAGCTAAAATCAAAATAACTTCAATAAACTAAAACCTTATCAAAATATTAAAACTTATATAATCTATTGTAAACAAACATTATTCAAATCCAACTCCACTTTAAAATCCTATATTTATTCTTATTTTCATTTCCCATCATTTCTCTCGACTGAACTCAACTCTGACGAGATAAACTGCAACTTCTTAACCAAGAAGGGCAACCTTTTATCCATACCAAAGAACGAATCAACTATATGACGACTAACAAATATGCAAATCATCCCCAAGAATATGATCTAATCAAGTGGGCAAACTTTCCTTTCAGCCAAGTAGCAGTAAAAGAACTCCAAAAAACCAACTTGAGCAACTCATCCACAAAACTTACCACGGAATCCACATGAGGAACGTGATGCAATAGCAAGGTAGATTGACCTTCAATAACAAATGAGCGCAATACCGATGGCTTTAATGTACCCCGACGAGGAAAAAATTCAGCTATATTGAAAACAAAACCTTCATTTAAGTGTAATAACTAGTCAAATAGAATATTTTTGGGTAAGCCAAAAATTGTTTCTTTACATGTTTTAGAAATAGTGCCAAAGAAACAGGTAAGACTGTGAAAGCATCGGTATCTGAACTGTGCATCAAAAGCACGCTCATAACTTTCATTATTCAAATGAATTCTGCATTTTATCTCAACAGGAAAATTAGGAAAAGGGGACAATAGAGGTTAGAGCTAAAATAATATGCTGGTAATTAGTAAGCATCAACCAAATATTGATAGGATTAATATGCTAACAAAAAATGACTTCAGAAAAAAAAGTGACAACTCAAGGAACAGTTGAACAAAGTCATTGGTAATTTCGCACAGAGGAGTGGGCATAACAATTTCGGAACGAAGACGAGGATATTTTAAATGTCAGCCTTAGGTGGTAACACCAAAGGTAATTTTTCAATTGAGTCATGATCAACTATATCGAAGACGGGTAAGAGGGAATACAAGACAATTCTCAAAACTCTTATCCCAACTATCAAAATATTCAATAAACTCAACAATAAAAACTTTATTTTCTACTTCAGGATGAGGACTAACACAACCCGACTTAAGAAGTGACTCTCGGGACAGGGATGGTAGACCTAGCATATGACATGCTTGATGAAGATGGAAACATATCCCATAGGTCAGCCCATCGATAAGCTTCATCTAAGGATTGGTTGCCAGAATATCGTCACACGGAATTTCAGGATTCAAACCATTAAAAAACTTAGATGTGACATGGGGAGCTTTATAAATATCACAAAACTGTGTAATAGCTCTTCAAAGTGCGGTAAATATTCGCTAACAATGAACATATCTTGCCTACAGTGCAAAAATAATTAATTTAACAACTGAGTTTTTTTATTTTTTTTTTATTTTATTTTTTTTTTTTTTACAAGGTGTCCGGGCTTGCGTCCGACTAGATCCTTGTCCCTGAACCTCCGGCCCCTCAGCAGTTCAGGGAGGTAAATCGCAGGATGTGCCCTTGTTGGCTCCCAGGTTCCCACAACTCATTTGGACTCCTTCCGCAAAGAGAGCTCTCTTCACTGGGCGTTTGTTCACACCAATGGCTTCCTCTCCATATGGCTCCCAGTGTTAACTCCAGGAATCGAACTCTCCACCCTTACTTCCAGCGTCCCAGCGAAGTGATTGTTCCACCAACTCGGATGTGCCCTGGGGGGCCTTTAACAACTGAGTTTGATAATATACAGAGACGTGTTTTGTTACTTAATATTCGTTTCATCTCATCCATAAAGTGACAAGGCATTGACCTGGATGATTAATATTATGCAAAAATGACTTCCAATAGCACCTAGCATAATCGATAATGAAATATTAGCCTGACAAATTATTGAAAATCAAAGAACTTTTCAAGATTTTCGAGCTAATCAAGAAATGACTCGAGACCGACAAGACCAGCAAACTGACATGGTTGTAATTTAACTTGCTTACAGAACGTCCTCAACAGTCTTGACCAATGTTAATGTTTGCCCTCAATTCTTCTCTTCTTTGCACCACTTTCTTTTCTTAATTTTCAATTGTTCATTGTCAAATAGATGCTTCTAGGTCAGGTAGTGAATAAAGATTGGGTTAATGGGCTGTTTTATGTGGATTATTGTTGGATGAAATTCCGGTGAGTTTATGGTATTAACAATTACACGGTACTCTTCAATTTTATTTTTTATTTTTTTTAAAAAAAGGATCTGGCAGTGATGCTATGGAGCGAGAATTTTTCATTTTGGGAACAAGGAACAAAGATTAAAAGTAAGCAGAAAACTTAAGCCTAATGAATTCTTCTCTATGCTGCTGTTATTTAAGGCTAATGTAAAGGTTTTGGGTGGTCTGAAGGTAGTTGTGAGAGTACAGAATGGTGGTGGTTGGTTGGAAGGTTGGACCTTCTATTAATGAATGCTGCAGATCTTTTTTTATAACTTGAACACTGAAATTTATTTGACGAAAGAAAAATGACTTGCTCTAAAACCAAACAGATGTAGAACACAATTCAATAAGAACAAGATTGAGAAAGGAAAGGAAAGAGAGGAAGAGAAGAAGAGAGAATAAAGAAAAATTTGAAGAGAGAATATTTATTTATTTCAAATCAAAATTATATGGATTACAATGAATACATCATCTTTATGTAGAGTCTAAGCAAACCTAATTTGAGAAGGAAACAAAGTAAATAAACCTTAACTTAGTAAAAACTAGAAAATCTATCAAAAAATAACCTAATTCTAGTCAAGCTAAAAACTATAATAAACTAAAATAAACTAAATCTCCCCGTTGAAGCAATTGCACAATTTTTAAGTTAGTGCTTTTAATTTTTCAAATTTTTCTTCTAATCTGGAAAAATATTCTTCTCTTCAACAAAAATTTACATTTTTCCTCTTGCCGAATAAGGACACATGCTTCCCAACAGCCATGTTTCTATGACATGTCATCTATACTTCAGGTGTTGAAAATTTTGATTTTTGGCAGCATGTAACCTCCTATCCCAGTCCTAAAGGAAGATTGTTTATGTGACATGTAAACTTCTTGATCTGTTTAACTATCCAGTGTTATGAATAGTAGTAGATGAATAGGTGATGCAAACACAAATTTGTCATCATTCACAACTAAGAAATACATCGCTATTCAATATAAACAAATTTGACCATAGTATTATTTACTCTAGGGTATATGTAACTCCAAACGTGGGAATTTCTGCCACGCTCGAGGCCCAAAGGCATGGGAGATAGCAAAGCCCAGAAGTGCAACCCCAGCCTGCCCAAAATTGATTCCAAGTGTCACACATGGTTCCTTTGTCCCAATGTATAAACTAGTTCATTCTAGTTTCTCAATGTCGAAATATCACTCTTTTTCTCTCTCACACAGAATATTAAAGGTCCTCAACTTAGCTTAAAAAAATTGTAAATTAAGTGCTAAATGTGTTGTTCTCTTCCCAGAATTTTAGAATACCACTTATTTTAAACTAGCCAGTATTTTATTTTAAGTTGCTGTCATCATTCACATAGGCTTAAACTCCCCATCTTAATGGAGAGATTTTCAATGAGACATTAAATAAATATGATTATCAAAGAAGAAGCTTAAAACAGATTGTGTAGTGCCCAAAAAATTTTATATAATAAATTCTATTTGTTTTATATATTATATTTTGAAAAGTTGGGGACTAAAATGAAATAGACTTTAAACTCCTATTTTATTTAGGCCAAATAATTAGATATTGATGGAACGAGATTTAATATATCAACAATGGACTCATTTTATAGGTTGTAATTAATTAGAAGTCTTCAACATTAGAAAAAGTTAATTTGAATATGTTAAGCCTAAGATATTGATGTTAAAAGAAATTGTTATCTAATAGTATTTTATTAAATTGGAGATCGTCACGTGTGCTTTGGATGGGTACCATCAAAATTCTTATATAACTACAAAATAGATACAATTCCAATATCATTAGGTAGGTACTAGGGAATTAATTAGTTTATTGTAGGATGGACATGTAGAAAGTCAAATCCTAACCCATTTTCAATAGAAAACTCAATTTGATTTAGTAAATTATTAATTTTAAAATGGTAGGCAGTCACGTGTGTGTCTTGGACAAATATAAGCAAACATTTTTAGTTGATTATGATAAAGATTTCTTAGTGTTTCTGTTTAATAAGAATAACAGCGTCCCACTTTCAATAAGGAGCCTGCACTATAAATAAACTATAACGTTAATAGAAATTTCACCACAGAATAGAAAGAGACAATCAAAGAGAGAGGTTAGTTTAACTATATATATATTTGTGGCTTTTATATTCTTAGTTTTAATGATGTATTCTGGGTTTTTAATTTTTAATTCACATAATATTTTATCTTTTTCCCAATATTTTAAAACATTTTCTCCTATTATTTCTATCTTTTCTAATCTAGATATTAAATTTTCTATTTCTTGTTCTGTTATTAACATATCATAAATTTTTTCATTATCCACTAATTCTATAATTCCAAAATCTATTTCATCTTCAAAATCAAGTTCTTCTAAATTATCTTCTTCTAGTAATTGGCATTCTCTTTCTTTTTCACACTTACAATTGCTACAAGTGCTACTATGTGAATTAAAAATTAAAAACCCAGAATACATCATTAAAACTAAGAATATAGAAGTCACAAATTTAGACTTAGAAGATTTTAAAATACATATAAAAGAACTTTTAGAATTAGGAGTTATTAGAAAATCAGAAAGTCCTCATAAATCAGCAGCCT